CTTGTATTACTGTCAGTCTCTTCATGTCTGTTAATATTTGCTTTATGTATGTAAGTTTTTCTACATTGGGTATGTAGATGTTTACAAGAGTTATATTCTCTTGGAGTGGTCCTTTTATCATTATGCAATATCCTTGTCTCTTGTTACAGCCCTTGTTTTAAAGTCTGTTTTGTCTGATATTGCTACTCCAGCTTTTGTTTGTTTCCATTTGCATGAAATAATCTAATTCCTTCCCTCCACTTTCAGGTTGTGTCTCCATCTGAAGTGAGTCTTTTGTAGGCAGCTTATGTACAGATCTTGGTGGGTTTTTTTGTTTTGCTTTTTGTTTTTGTTTTAATTCATTCAGTAACCCTGTGTCTTTTGATTAGAGCATTTAGTCTACTTCTATTTAAAGTAATATAGTTATATCGTTATATTGATAGTTATATAGTAGTGTCGCCATTTTATTGTTTTATTCATTTTGTGGATTTTTGTTTCTTCTGCCTTCTTATACATTGATGACTTTCTATAGTGGTTTGTTTGCATTCCTTTCTCTCTGTGTATGTGTATATGTGTGCATGTTTCTTTCTTCCCCTTCTTTCCTTCCTTCCCTTCCTTCCCTTCCTTCCCTTCCTTCCCTTCCTTCCCTTCCTTCCCTTCCTCCCCTTCCTCCCCTTCCTCCCCTTCCTCCCCTTCCTCCCCTTCCTCCCCTTCCTCCCCTCCCTCCCCTCCCTCCTTTCCCTTCCCTTCCCTTCCTTTCCCTTCCTTTCCCTTCCTTTCCCTTCCTTTCCCTTCCCTCCCTTCCCTTCCTTCCCTTCCTTCCCTTCCTTTCCTTTCTTTCCTTCTCGGTTACTGCGAGACTCATAGATACCAAGCTATGTTTATGGCAGTCTATTTTAAGATGTTGGTTATTTAAGTTCAAACACATTCTAAAAGCACTAAATTTTTTTTACTCCTTCCTCCACATTAACATTTTTGCCATCATATTTTACATCTTTTGTGTGTATTTATCCCTTAATTTATTGTTGTATTTATACATGATCATACTCCTTTTGTTTTTTTAACCTTCATAGTAGCTTTATAATTGGTTGATCCACTACTTTTACTAAATGACTTTATCAGTGAGATTTTTTTTCTTTCCTGTATTTTCTTATTTTTAGTTTTGACCTTTTCTTTACCACTTAAAGAAGTCCCTTTAATACTTCTTATAATGCTGGTCTAGTGGTGATAAACTTTTAGCTTTTGCTTGTCTGAGAAACTCGTTATCACTTCTTCAATTCTGAATGATAATCTTGCTATGTAGAGTATTACTGGTTATGTTTTTTACTTTCATTACTTTGATTATATTGGGCCATTCTCTTATAGCCTTCAAAGTTTCTGTTGAAAAATTAGTTTATTTTATTATGAGAACTCTCTCATTGGTAAATAACTGCTTTTCTCTTGCTACTTTAAAGATTCTCTCTGTCTTTAACCTTTCACACTTTAATTATAATGTTTGTTGGTGTGAGTCTCTTTGGGTTCATCTTGTTTGGGACTCTGTGCTTCGTGGACTTGTATGACTATTTCCTTAGCCAGGTTAGGGAAGTTTTCAGTCTTTATTTCTTTAAATAGGTTTTCTTACCCTTCCTATCTCTCTGTTCCTTCTGTGATCCCTATGATGTGCATATTGGTATACTCGGTGCTGTCCCAGAGCTTCCTTAAACTATCCTCATTTTTTTGGATTCTTTTTTCTTTTTGCTATTTCCGTTGGATGATTTCCATTATTCTGTCTTCTGGATCGCTCATTTTTTCTTCTATATCATCTAATCTGCTGTTGATTCCCTCTTAGTGTTATTTTTTTCATTTCAGTTATTCTTAAGTTCTGATTGGTTCTTTTTTATATTTTTCTCTCTTTTGAAGTTCTCACAGAATTTATTTATTCTTCTCCCAAGTTAATTGAGCTTCTTTATAACCATTGTTTGAACTCTTTATCTGGTAGATTGCTTGCTTCCATTTCATCCTCTTTTTTTTTTTTTTCATGGAGTTTTGTCCTCATTTCACTTGAAACATTTCATGTCTCCTCATTTTGGCTGTATTTCTGTTTATTTCTATGTATTAGATAGATCTACTGTGTCTCCTGGTCTTGCAAGAGTGGCCTTACCTAGAAGGTGTCCTGTGGGGCCCAGGGGTGCAGTTCCTCCTGTTCACCAGAGCCAGGTGCTTCAGGGATGTCCCTCTGTGGGTTGTGTGTCCCCTTTTATTGTAGTTGGGCTGAGATTGCTGCAGGCATGTTGTTGGGTGGGATTGACCTTGAGGCCAGCTGACTATGAGGATGGGCCCTGGCAACAATGGTCAAGCTATTGTGTAGGGGCTGGTAGAGTGGGAGTTGCTTTGGTGGGGCTCTGGTGCCAGCCAGGGCAGTCTGTTGGGTTTGTAGGTTGTATAGCCTTTGAGTGGGTTCTGGCTGGATGTGTTGGGTTTGGAGCCTCTTAAGAGGGCCTGTGATGTGGGCTGAGGCCAGCCAAGGCCAGCCACAGCTGTGGTAGGCTTGGGAGGGGCCATAGTGCAGGCTTAGTCTGGCTGCTGCTGTGCCTGCCTTGGGACTGCTTGGTAGGAGGGATGATGAGAGCTGTGGCCAGTCACCATCAGTAGTCACTGTCACCACTTGTACAGGGAGTGGAGACATGTGGGAGAGGCTATGATGCAAACCAAGGCCAGCCACCACTTGTGCCACGCTTGCAGCCCCTTGGTGGGAGCTATAATTCGAGCCATAGCCAGTCACTTCTTGTGCCAGGCTTGGGCATACTTGATAGGAGCTACAGTGCTAGCAGAAGTTGATCACTGTTGTGCTGGGCTTGAGGGCATTTCGGAGAGACTGCGCGTGTGTCTGAAAGCTAGCTGCTGCTTGTGCGGAGTATCTGAAGCTGCTGGAAAAGGCTCTGCTGGACAATTGGGTTGGATGGCTCAGGGTCTCAGGGAAACACCACGGCAGGATAAAGGGTGTCAGTCAGGATTAGCCAGGTTAAGGGAGATTACAAATTTTACACCTGCCTGTGCTGGAGCAGCTAGGTGAAAGGAGATCTCAACAAAGGAACACTGGCCTCCTCCAGCACTCCTGTGCCCTGAGAGAGTTCCCACTGGTCCCTGCCCCTCCAGCCCTTACCCTGAAGTCAGTTTAATTCCTTGTATAACCCAGGCACTTCTCAAACTGCTGCCTTTGTGCTGGAGCTTAGAATCCTTTAAGATCTGATGATTTTTCTAATTTAAGTAATTAAAAAGCTTTATTCTAATATTTTGGTGCCAGATGAAGAACTTTCCCTATCTGTAATTTATAGTGTACCAGTCCTATAACAGATTCTGATACATGCCTGTAAAGTTAGAATAATGGTTAGATAGGTGAGGCATGGATATTGACTAAGTAGAGGCCCAAGGGAGCTTTTAGGGTTCTGGAAATGTTTTATATCTCGATGTGAGTGGTGGCTACAGAGGTTTATACATACATAAAAATTTGTTGTGCTGGACACAAAACTTGTGCACTTTTCTAAGTTATATCTAAAAAAAGTGATAGGTTTTCAAATTCTACTTAAAACCATCTTTTTTCTCTAACCAGTTTTTTGTCATTTCCAGCTTTGACATTATTTTTAGCCCTTGACTGTTTTTATTCCCATTAACTCTGAGTATTCATTCTTACAAGCAATAATAGATATTGATAGCATTAAAATATATGTCTCAACAAAATTCTAGTCATGACAGTTTCATAGCTATCATATTTCTTTGCCAGTGCTGTTACATACTATCATCTGTCATTAGTGTCTGACTCATTTTAGTTCGTGTTTTACCCAGTGTCCGGTATATTTGTGTCACCTCCCCCACCCCGCCCCCGGCCAACCTCTATAATTTTTCATAAAGTTCTTTTCCAAGTATAGACCACACTCTCTGTTTCTGGTCCATAGTGGGATTAATTTACATCAGAATGTAAACCAAATGTATCACTACACTGTTCTGTTGAGCTGTTTTTTTGTTTGATTTTTTTTTTAAAGCAAGATTTCTTGATGAGGAAGCAGTGCATTGATTTGTAGTATGGTGCAAATTCCCTGTCTCTTTGGAGACCAATACTCAGTCAACTGGGTTACACTGTATGAGTTAACAATTTAATTCTATCACATGTACAGTATATTGATGGAGAAGGGGTGAGTGGCAGGGATTATATCTGCCAGTGTGAAAGGACTTTTGTTATTATTATTGACCTTCTGGCATCTTAATTCCTGTTCAATATTTCTGGAATTCCTTTATGACTTTAAGTGGCAGAACCTGCTCTCTATAGCCAGGTAGATTTGGCCAATCAAATACCACCAGTATGGATAGCAACTCTGGAGCCAGTGAGACAGAAAAGTGGGATCTGGTAAACTCTGTTCTGTCAGGGGTGGCAATAGCAGTTGCAGTGGTGTCTTCCTAGGACCAATTCTGCTGCAATTTTGGGCATCTTTTCTGGCTGTGTAGCCTACAAGGCAGGTTCTGCTAAGATTGTTATCTCTTAGATATCTTTTCATAAATATATTTTTTCTTTTTTATCTATGTATGTATGTATGTATATATTTATTTTAGGTGAGGCAATCTTTGGTTGACCTCACAGATTGCAAGGACCTTGTCAGCTTACAATCCCTTATTTTTTATTTTTTACGTCTACAGCACCTGGTCTTCCTAGGTGGTCTCTCATCCAAGTACTAACCAGGCCCAACTCTGCTAAGCTTCCGAGATCAGACAGGATCCAGTTTGTTCAGGGTGATCCATAAGTATATTTCCTAAATTAGCCTCAAGTATGTTTTTGTTGCTTCCAACTAGAACTGTAACTGGAAAAAATACTTAAAAAATTGTACTGTTAGTGTATTCAAAGCTAATTACAAGCAAAATTTGTTTTCTCTTAAGTAAATTTACACACACACTTTTAAAATGTTTTAGAGTAGAATTATTTTGTGAGACATGTTGCAGACAGTAAAGATTCTAAATTATTTCATTTTAAAATTTGCATTTTAAAATTTCAGTGTGCTTTATGGACCATGTGCTGCTGTGTATGCCTGAAGAACTTGAAATGCAAATTTGGAGAGACTTTGCCATCTAAATGCTTGGCTGGATTAAGCGCCTAATTAGGATGGTTTTTCAACAAGTTGGAGTAAGCATGCAGTCGGTGAGTGCTCAGATTTCATTTTTAAAATCCAGATATTTAGATGTCTTAAGAATTTTTTCTGAGAAAGTAAAATGAAATGACCAACATTTTGAATTCAGTATGTTTATGTACTATTTAATTTGCTTGCTATTTAAATGATAAAAGTGAATCTTTACTTAGCTTCCCAAGTATGGGAGTAACTTTCTAGGTTACATTGAAAACTTACCAATATTCATTTGACTTTTAAAAGCAGTGCTTTTGTTATTAGGGAGGAAAAGGCTTAAATATATATAAAAATCATTGAATATAAAATATATTTGACTAACACATGACAACTCAGTGTTGTAGAAGTATTAATATTGCATGTTATAATATGGTTTATCACACAACTATTTAAAAAGTAAGTCATGTCTCCTAAAATACAACAACTATAGATATGAAGAAAAAGTTAGTATAATATGGTTATTTTGTGCCAACAGTGTTCTGGTCTTGACATTTTTAAAAGTATTTTCAACTGATACATAATTTTTTTTCAGATCCAGTGTAAAGTTATGAGAATGATAGTTGTGCCAAGCATATTTTGTGGAATATTTTTTATTTTCAAATTCAACATTTTGTAATTGATGACATGGAATTAAGTTTTATTTATTAAAGATATAGGCAGGGAACATAATTGTAATATTGGGTATACTTTTTAATGCACTATGTTTACTTTTTTGTTTTTATGTTTTGTCTTTTCATATCTTAAGAGAAAGTTGAACTGTGAGACCCCCTAATCTTCCCAAAGTTACATCTATTTTCTTCGGAGAAAAAGCGAAGAACCAAAAAAATTACCTTTTTTTTTTTTTAATAACTAATTTTTAGATTATTAGCGTGAGGATAAGCAATAGGAAAATGGTTTGTAAAGTTAATAGTATTTTCATCTTTTTCAATTACATCTTCCTATGTTTTGGACTTAATGCAGCTATACCACCTTTCTCATTTGTGAGTACTAAGGGCAAAAGAATTTTTGCTTTCAGAAAAATGTGAAGCATTTATTGATGATTCCCTAAAAGGGAAGCCTTTACAATTTATAATTCCTACTTATTTGCAATTTTAGTAAGAAGTATAGTTTAGTGGAAAGATTGTAGGTCCTTGATTCAAACAAACCTAGGTCTGAAATTTATTTTTGCCAGTTACTTACTTCTACAAATTACAGATAAGGAGAACTACTGAGTCAGTCTGCAGGTTAAATGACGATGTAAGTAAAACACCTAGTGCAGTGGCTTATAGGTAGTTGTAGGTACATTCGATAATGGTTAGTTTCCTATGGTTTTGCTCTGCCCTCCACCCGACCCCACCCCAAGTCAGGTGAATGTGACTAGTGCTGACTGAGGCCAAGGTACAGGATTTTCTTTCTGGAACAGATAACATGCTTTATTTAGCTCATTCATTTATTTAGCTTTGTTCATTTTGAGCTGTAAGACTGATGCCTTTTATCTAAGAATGGATCAGGTAAGAGAGAGTAACTTCCTCTCAATATTGTGATCACAACTGAGGGACCTTTCCACTAATAGCAAATGAACAAGATCATTTTTTTCCTATAACATATAATCAACAACTTTAATCAGTTAACTGAAAATCTATATAAAACAAGTTTTCTTCTAACATAAAGCAATTTGCTCCTCTGGAGTTATGTTCTATCTTAGTTTCCAAGATCTCATAGCCTGCTGCCTAAGAGTAAAAAGGCATAGTCTACCAAAATTTTATCTTTGGGCATCTGAAAATTTAAAAAAACATTTTAGCTTCACCTTTCAAAGATAAATATGTACTGTTTCAGTAGTTTGATGTAGAAACAAACTTGATACTATGTTTGAAAGTACGCTAAGAGCAAAAAGTGCTTTCATCCTTTACATACTTTATCTGCCCCCCCAAAAAGAAATGTAACCTTTGAGATCAGGGTTTTGTTTTTGTCATTAGGACAACCGGTGATGATTAGCTCTTTGTATTTTACTTTATTTGTCAGCACCACCACAATAGCTATCACTGATTGGCTTACTATGCCCAGTTCTTTTATAGATATTACGTATGTTAGAACACCACTTTTTTTTTTCTTTCTTTTTTTTTTTTTACAGATGAGGAATCAGAAATTCAGAGGGTTTAACTGACTTGACCAAAGTTACATAATAAGTGACAGAGCTATAATATGAAACCAATTCTGATTCTAAAATCATTTCTCATTTTAGTATACTTTACTACCTCTTATAATAGAAAGCAAAGAGGTTTAATTTTTATTAAATATTTTAACTCACTTAATGCTTATAGGCTCAGGAAGTAGATATTGTAGGCGAGGAAACAGAAGCATAGAGGGATGAATAATTTGACCAGCTTTATACAGGCTGTAGTGACAGGCTTATGTGCTGCCATGGCATCTATGTTTTCTCTTCACTGCCTTCCATTTTCTTCAACATTTGTTTGAATTTAAAACCATATATTTGTCTAAACTTTCTCCTTAACCAAAAACATTTTTAACATTAAGAATGCAAGAAAAATATGAAGATAATGTGATTCTGATTAATCTCAGTATATTATGTTGAAAAAGTTATAGCAAATATCTAATTTGTATTAGTAATATAAATCCAGTAATACTTAGAAATTGTACCCTTGTTATCCTTTTGTGCTTTGCAAGAAGAATGTGAATGTGGCTAGGAGTTCAGAGTAAGGAAGAAGAGAAATGAAGGAAGTGTTATCTTCAGTTGGGGATTTTGAAATTGTTAGTTTCTTCTTTCTATCTCTACCCCTTCTCCTCAGCACACACTTTTAATATTCTCTTGGCTCTCTTGGAATTAAGAATTTATACTTATTGGGTCCTAGAATCCCTGAAAAGTTGACTAATAGTATGGTCATTCTTCCCAGAAAAATGTTGTATATACATATAATTTCACTTGTAATTTCAGTGATGTGCAAGCCCCAGAATAAGAACCCTTGCATTAATATTATATAGTTTGCCTTGAGAAAAATATATTTATTTAGAATTAAATTTATACTCTTCCTGCTAGTGGTGCTTATCAAATAATAGTGGAGATCAAACCAGTCTATAACAAATGAATTACCACATAAAGCTTGAGTGTATTCATTATGGTAAGACAGATGGCAGCTTGAGTCCAGCCTCATACTTCAACTCTTCTACAACAGCATATCACAACTGAAAAACAAATGCTTTCCTATTTTCATTCTCTTTGCTATCATCACTTTTAAACACTGTTGCTAAATGTTATGGACTGCCATTACTAGACACAGACATGCAAATACACATATACCCCCCACACAGATTCATTAGATTATTAGTAGTTCTTATAAATAAGTTATTACTTAATTGCTTATCAATGGACTTGCTATTATTAATTACATCGAATTGTCAAGTAATGATGGCATTCTCCATGCCTTCTCTTACATCTGTAAAATTATTAATGACAGTTTGTCTTTAGAGTAAATTTTTCATTCTCCAGACAAGTATAACTGACAAGACACAGTTCAGCCACCATTAGGGTTTAGAGATGCTCTTGGGCTGCACAGCCTCCCCGTGTACAGAGGCTAACTTTTCAATACCATATGTTCCTCTCTTTCTTCACAGCCATTTACAATTTATCTCTCTCCATGAGAGCTGAAAAGAAGAAAATAAAGACCTGGTTTTAGAGTTCCTGGAAGTTAGCTGCCCTTTCCCCTCACTTTTTTCTATAATCCAGTAACGGTTATGGCTTTTCTTCTTTTCTAAATATTCTAGTCATTAGCTTACATAGACACTTCATATTTCTTGGTGCAAACTGCTGTGTAGTTCACAACAGAAGAATATCATTGTTAGTCTATACTTGAAAAAATAATCACATAAAGCAATCTGTTCTTTTACTTCCTTTAACTTTTGCATAAGCATAGTCTATTTAGTCCTTATAAGTAAAAGCTCAGTCTTTGTCTACCTTCTCTTGAAGAAAGCACCTGGTATTCTTTGTTTCTGATATTAAGCAGATGGGAAGGAAATAGTTGAAACAGCCCTGAGGAATACATAGCAAGGAATGGCAAAAGCTGGCAGAAACATTAGTTCCTGACCTTGGCAAATCCTTTCTAAAAATTTTCTCTAAGCTTGTTGTCCTCTTCACCTTCAGTTAAGATTTTTGCTTATTGGAGGGACAGGATATTCCCTTTAGAGTATGTAATTGTCATATTGTGATGCACAAATAGTGTTCCACTACTACATCATAGGAGAGTTTTGACTTGTGAATAAATGGAAGACTCGAGAAGAGAAATGACTAAATGGCATAGATACTGTTGCCCTATGGATTTATTTTTAAAAGATCAAGACCTATTAACATGTATAAGGTAAAGAGTTTGCTTAAGTACTGTCTTAGAGTTACTTGCCCATGTTTTTTTTTCTTGGCCTCTTTGTAAAACTCTGATGCTTCTCATTTTCATTTAGTCAGATGTTTTCCTTCTTTTAGTCCTCATGTGTTATTTAACACTATTCATGTGATAATCCCCCATATGAACACTGGTGGGCAAGATTTGAGTTCTGAACTACAGGTAATTCCTTTCTAAAGGAACTTTGCCTCAAATATTCTTTGTTTAATATTCATATTTAAATATTGATGCCTATATTTCTCTGACCAATTTTCAAATCTGTACTATCTTTTTAATTTATATTTCAAAACAAAAGATACAATTTTTGGTTATAGTAGCAGTGTAGGTTGTAGTACTTTCTGGAACCCTCCCAGATAACAGCCAGTGAAACTTTGAACATTTTGATAAAGAGAATTATATAGCAGCTGAAGCAGATGCCAGAGGTAGTATATATATCTCCGTGATCCTCACTTTAATTCATACTGTTATCCCTAAATTGGATTTGGTTGCTAAAACCTAAGATGTTGTTTTGCTTGTATGCTCATTCTAAGAATTGTGCATGCTTTTAGACTGGTCTAAATGCCTAGTTTGGGTTATGTGTTGGAGCCACCACTATTTGCAGTAACATTTATTGCTTGGTAATACTGTTAGAGTAATTCCATTCTTTAAATTAGAATGGCCATGGTTTGACTTTAAAAAGGAGTTGGTTGGTGTACATTGCTTAGAATACATTTCGACGGATTTGGTACTATTCGTTTAGTTTTAGGATATAAAATTGAATGTTAAACTTGAATGAATTAGCTACAATAGTCATATCAGTCTCATTCCTTTTTTTAAAATTGTTTTTAATAGCATACTACCTCTCTTTACCTCCTCTTCTGTCCAGGCTTTGCAGTGTAGCACTCAAAACAGATGGGTAGTTTTTCTCTTTAAGAAAAGATATACTTGGGGAGAAGTTTCAAGGTACAATTTGTAATAATTTAACATTCTACATGTGTGTTTTTATTTGCTTTTTGCTTTGGGGGTTTCTTTTTGCTTTAAGCGTAGCATAATGTTTTCTAAATATTAGGATTTTATCTGGGAAATCCTGCTCATTAGGGCCACCACTAGTCCACATAGTACCTTCCGTGTAAATTAGAAAAAGGCACCTTTTCCCTGGGGACAAGGCCTCACAAGATGTAGTGCAACTGGAGTTTGGCTCCTGCTCACCCTTGGCCAGGCATTCTTGTGTAGTAAACAAAATGCATTACCCTGCATGGTACAAATAAGATTCCGAACTTTGTACTGATTTGGATTTGTTTTGAAAAATCCATGATAGCAAAAGTAGCTCAAGTTTTAAAAATTTATGTGTATATAAAATTCTAAAACTAAAAGTACAGCAGAAGTAAAATAGTATATCCTTTGCAGAACAGTACGAAAACCAAATGAAAATAATTTTTACTTCAAATATAGTATTATTTTGCAATTACTAGTTATTTTGCAAATGTATGCCTACGTTAAACTTTACTACATTAATAATAACCAGTCATATATATTCTTTAATTTTTAATTGAAAAATAGCTCATTTCCCATAACGTATAGACATTCTGATCCCATAATTAATGTGTCAGCATGTTATGCAGTTAATTGCATGGTGCTTTGTATTAACAGTACTATAAGTTTTATAATTAAATGTTTGGTTTTTCCTACTTCCTCAGGTACTTTGGTCTGGAAAGCCATATGGTTCATCTCGAAGTATTGTAAGGAAAATTGGTACTAATTTATCTTTGATCCAGTGTCCAAGAGTTCAGTTTCAGGTACTGTATATTTCACATTTTTGTATTAATATATATATTAGGAATATAAGTAAGCTAGACAGCATTAAAAGTATTTTTTGAACCTTTTCCCCGCTACTAATGCCACTATCAATAGTGTAAAAGAAGATAAAAACCAGAGTAAAGTCTTTCTAATCTTAGTTCCTCTGTGAAGTGATTATTTAAGATCTAATACCTATGCCAGGATTTAGAAGCACATAATAAGCCAAGCAGTTGTTAATTCCCAGGTGACCTCAAATGTAGGCCTTATATTACTTTAGGAGCTTCAGATACTGCCATCTTTTTCTTTAATTACACCTTCCTCTTTGGACAGCCAGTCTGTTCACCAAATATATTTTGAGATGTCTATGTGCATGCTATGTAAGTTGCTTTCTCCATCTTTGGTTTAAAACTTAGTGTTAATTGTATGAACTATTGCCTTGGTAACAACAATGTTAAAACAAAGAGATCATTGTGGTTCTCTGAATGAGGTGATAGTCAAACCCTTAATTAGGATTACTTTTGAAAGGTCAGGTCTGAGTATTCTCTTCTAGCATCAAAATCAGGAGCAACTCTTTGGAGACAAATTGTTCTGTTCTTGATTTGGGCTTTTGTTCTTTATTGTTGTTATAGTGTTAGACATATATCATATAGCTTTGTTTTTGTTTTTCAGTAATTCTATATAGCAGTAATACGATAAAACCTTTCAGATTAACATTTAAGAAGATAAGGTTCAAAAAAAAAACCAATTTAAAATAATAGATTAGCATGTGGAATGTGGAAGATATATTTAGCTCATAATTCAATAGGTCAAAGGTGGCCCCGTGGACTTATGTCATACTTGTAAACACCTCTTCTTGGTAGATAGAGGTGAAAAATCTGTTCCTAAATGGAAGAAATTAATGTTCATTCAGTTCGACTAACAAGGTTATTCATTATTGTGCTTATACCCCCACTTACAAATTGACTGGCAAAACCTTTGTGCATAAGTCTGGAAATGGACAAATTGGAACTTTCTAAGAAGTAATTTTTATCAAACTATAGGTTTAAAAAAATCAAAATTAAGAAACGTGTGGTAGTGAGTCTCTCTAGCATAATTTCTGAGAATTCAGTTCATTTAGACACAAGTTACTGATTGCTTTATTTGCCAGCTTTCTTCAAAAAACTATTGTCTTAACTAAGGCTTATTAACTTTTTCTGATTGCTCAGTTCCATTAAAATTTTCTTTTTTATCTACTCAACCTAGTGGCAGGAGAACTTGTTTCAACATTTGTGTTCCTGTAGCTGGAGACATGTAACAGGAGATGGAGATAATCTCTCATTTTCTGGTAGCAACCCAAATCTGCCTTGATAGTCAGTGAACTAAAGTACTAGAGTCAGGTAAATTTCATTGGAAATACTCTATCTCAGTGTTATTAGTCACTTAAAAGGGAATGATTGGAAGAAGAATATTAGCTTTATTACAGGAGCTGTATTTGAAAAGAGATGGGTTAATATAAAGAAAGGAATAAAGTAAGAAAATTGGGTAATTTGAGAATGTAGTGGAATACAGAAGACATTTGTTTATAGTGAGATTTTTATTTCCAGGCAGTTTTGTAGCATACAGAGTCTTTTCAAATTCAACATCAGTATTAAATTGGTTATTTTACCTGCTACTTAGATATTTTAAATCTGCTATTTTTGCTCTGTATCTTCAATTTTTTTTTTACTACATCTATTGGAAATATTAAAAAGTAGAGTCGTCAAAGAAAATAAAAGTGCAATTTAGAGTAATAAAACTGAAAATGCATTTTTGCTATTTTTCCGGCTCATTTGGGGGTTCGATATGGAATGTATTTTGAACTAAGAGTCCAACATGAGTAAATACTACTATAGATAGTTTGGAACTGGGGAACCACACTTGGGCCCACTGATACTGCTTCTTACCTTAATAGGTTGTTTTGAGATAGACACACATATTTTCCTCCCTCTTGTTGCTCTGGTCTCTTTCATTCTGCCCTTTCCCTCCTACCCCCTTTTTTCCCCCCATTCTAGGTGTGTCATGACTAGAAAGCATTAATACATGCTCGATTTTTAAAAAGTGACCACATTACTCAGAAACATTAGTGTCTGAGTCTCAGCTAGAATATTTAATTGAGCATTACAACTTTCAGACTAGTATTCTTTATACAGGTATACCTCTTGGCCTATTGGTGTCACTGTATATCACCATATTAAAACACAGAAATTCTGTTTTCAGTTTTTCTCATGATGGTAGGAAGTAGAAAAAAAAGAGGAGCAATTAAGTATGTCTGTAGGCAAAAAAAGCTAGAGATTATTTTACAGTGTTGCTCTTAAGAATGCATGTTTTTTATTTGGCTATAATAAATGGTGGTAAGAGGGACCGAATCTATTTACTATTACACCCTTTTTGGTAAGAAACAGAACATTCTAGTACCATTGTTTTTATATTTTATGAACAGTCACATGAGGACAAAGTTAACTCTTCTAATATTTCATTCTAAGTATTTCAACTTTGTACACACTTTATTTTTTTCTTTTATTCATTTTATTAAGTGAATCAGTTTCCTTGGTTTACTTTTACATTATCAGAATATTTTAAATTACTTTAGGAAAATTCTTGGAATATAATTGAATTTTAGATAATTTAGATTGTATAACATGTTCCATTGAACTACTTAAAAATAGTAAAAATACAATGCTGCTGCTGGATTTTTGTTTTGAATCAAATGTTTTTCACACTTTCTGAAAGGAACTTGAATACTTATAAAATAATAAGCACTAATTTTAATTTAAAAATTTATGTCCTTGATTTTTTGGGGAAAAAAGCCTATTCCTTTCACTGCTGTTTGTTTTTTTTTTCTCCTATTAACAATAGCGATGGTAGGACAAGACCTTGCTGGAACCTTTAGTAAGTTGGCCTTTTTCTAACTTTTATCAGTCATCCATGCATGTCAGTAGTGGTGTCTAAATCATACTTTGAAGAATTTCATATTGTCAGTCCCCTTGCCTGCAATGACTTCACCTTAACTGGTATACTCATTGAATTGTCCTTCCCATTCGATGCTTATGTTACTCTGTGCACATTTCAGCAACAACTAAAATGGACTTTTTTTTAAATTAGTATTATTTTTCAGGGTTTTTATTTTTTTTTTTTTTTTTGAATGACTTCAAAAAGGACTTCATTAGGCTTCTTATTCAGTGGCATAAATCACTGTTAGAAATGATACAGATCCTATCAGTTCTGGAACTGGTTCTTGACAGTATCATTAACTTTTTTCATTTCATTGAGCACATGTTACAGACATGGCATTATTTCAATGATGAAATATAATCAGTACTTCATAGTAAGACCGTAAAATAATGTATGGTCTTTAATTACATTATAAAATACTCTGAAAAGCTGCCTCAATGTGTTAACTTTTATATTTTTTACTATTTTTTAAAAGTATCTTTTTGCTTCCTTCTATAAACAAAAATATCTGAGATGATGTCGGCAAGTTTTGTAATTTTTATGGGAAAGTAAGAAGTCTTGAGGTCAAACTAGAAACTGGTAACCGTATTGGAACATATTTTTATTTTCTAAACAAAGAATTATCATCACATTAATCTTCATGAACTAGCACTGTCATGGTTGGGGCCGTTCAGAGTTTGGCGCCCCCAACAGTAGTGGGGAGGAAGAGGGATAATGAAGGCAAGGCCTGTAGTTAGCATATTCCCTCGGTTCTTCTTTTTTTGACATAGTGAAGAATCACAGGTCATTGAGATTTAATAGTTTTATTAAAAGTATATTTTAGAAAGACAAAGAATGCCCCAAGGAGGCACATGGTCCCAGTACTGTAACCAACCCAAAGGGGCCAAAATGACTACAAAAGGGCAAAAAGGCCACAAATGGCCACCAAAACGGGGAGAGAGCCCAGAAGGGCAAAAAGGACCCAGAATTGGGAATGTCTACCTTATATTTGTGCCATGATGTGTGGTTCCAAAGGCATTCCTAGGTGATTGGCAAGTGAGGTCATTTTGATTGACACTTGGCTGCTATACAACTTTGCCTAGTACGCAGGTACCTACTCAGAATTCAGTCTGTTCTGATTAGATTCATGAACTTCCTGGCATGATCATGAGATTATAATGATGATATAGTGAGGCCGAAGTTAGGGACAGTACTTTCTGCGCATGCGCGTTTGTAGCTGGTTTAGGCCTGCAGCTTTTATGGCCTTTGTGTTCTAGGATTTGGGTAATTTATAACCCTAAAAGGGAGATATTTCTGGGAGGTGCTTAAGGAAGGTCTTCAAGGGAAGTTTCTATGGTTACAGAGCTGGGCCCCTATTCCTTTGTTCCCCTATAGCTCATGTCTGACTAGCTACTTAATAGCACCTAGGAAGACACCCTTCTGGCTTTACTTTTATGATCTCTCTCTTACAGAATAGCCCGTTAATACTATATCTTCTGGGATTTCTACGAGACTTGGGGACCTTCTTGTTCAAGTATCTCCAAATAACCCACTCAGAATCTCCCTATTATAATGTTTTAGGAATGTTAATATACATTCTGTTTTCAGTAATGGTTTGGAACAGAATATTACCAGATCCCTCAGTTTCTTCAGATCTTATGTGATGCTTGGTTCCCTAGAGTTGTTTAAGTTGTATAAGGTACCCATTTACTGAATACGTTTGTTTATTGACTTACTTGGTAAAATTTCTGAAGCACTTTAGGGAGAAATACAAAAATCTAATTTTTGATTTATTTTGATCATGTCCTATCCTTTCACAATGTACTTGCTGAAGCTTATAGTTTTTTTCTCTTCTGACCACAATTATACCACTACATGTAAAACATTGGTATTTTGAAAGCCTTTTCTTCTTAATTCCATTTTTTTAACTCAATTAGCAATTTGTTTTCTCTCATCTCTACCCTCATTCTTCCCCAAAGCAGTAATTTAAGGCATTTTAAATACTTGATGCTCTTGATATGTTATTGTTAAAATACCAGTTTTCAAGTGCTATTTCTAATGCTATTTTATTAAGTTGATAATGTTAGGTAATTATAATATTGAAATGGGTACACATATCAGCTGATAATATTCAGTTAAAATTTTATTTATAACATTAAAGATGTTAAACTTTTAACTATATTAGTAGTATTATGTGTTTTATATATATATGTATATTTTATATTTTTATATTTGAGGAGGCAACATTATTTAGCGTAGCTTCCAAAAGCTTGATCTGGCAATGATAGTATTAAGGTTCAAACAAAGCATGGATTATAGTACAAGCTTTCTGATAAATATGTTAATAATTAAATTTCTTTGGCCTTTAAATTTTTTTTCTTCATTTAAAAAGTGTGCATCTTCTTTATTTAGACTTTATTCCAACTTCTAGGATGTTTTATATTCTGATAACTTTATTTTTTTATTATTCACTGACCATCTGACTCTGAGGCATTACACTTATAACAAAACTTGAATTAAATTATATTTCCATTTTTAAGGTAAATTTCAGAACTTGCATGCTCTTTATTTCAAAATATTCTGTTCCTTCATCTATGTGTTCTCTAGCTAATATTAGGTGGAGAATCCTGATGTGCTATTTGGATTTTTTGTTCTTTAACACAGCTAGTAATTTTATTTAAAAATAGAGATTTAAGGATTTTAAAAAATATATTTTCAACATTATAACAGCTTGTATATTTAATATTCATTTAAAAATATTCTCAGATTTAGCATAAATTGATCACTTGCTTATTCTTGTTCCTAAACTTTTTTTTTAAAACTAGATAGCTTTAGGGAAAAAATTGATTTTTAATGCTTAAATTCTAAAATTTTTTTAAATGTTTTAGGGTGACCAGAGTTGGTTGGTTGTTTGTTTGTTTTAATTGAACCAGTCTCACTTGACCTGTAACAAAAATTGAATAAAGTTAAATTAGAATTCAGAGATCGTCATATACTGTCAGGCAAGTGTGATATAACTACTGGACCCTTTTGTGGGGACCTTTAGTGGAAACATTAGAAACTGCTCATATGTTTGTAACTCTAAAGCTGATGATTTTTATTTAGGTAATTAAAAAGTTTTATTCTAATATTTTGTTGCCAGAGACAAACTTTCCCTGTTTGTAACTTACAGCTCACCAGCCCTACTACAGAATGGAGCCCCAGTCACCTGGGAGAGGATGCAGTAGCATCTTTTGCTGATGTTGGATGGGTAGCCACAGAAGAAGGAGAGTGCTCAACAAGACAAAGGTTAGTCTGTAAGCCTATAAGAGCTGACATGTGTTTATTATTTTAAAAGATGAAACCTTTGCGACATTTCCTTTTAATAGCTGAATTTGATCTCTGATAACTAACCTGTTTATTTATTTTTTTTTTTGAGCAGTCTTTTCTGTTCATTTTAAAGGCTCAGCTAGTATTTATAAAGTTTCTAGAGACATGTAACCGTGTCCTAAGTCCTTATGAATTACAGAATTCTCTGTAATATAAGTTTACATTCTAATATGAGAGACCAGGAAGAACTGTCACAAATATGTTTAGATAAGTACAGTAATTATAATAGTCTTATTGGGGCAGAGGAGTCAGTGTGGGTCATATTAGGGAATTTGTCTAAATACTGGACAGTATTTCCTAATTTGTATTTTATAAGATTTCCTTGTGAACAGCATGAAGAATAGAAGGGAGTCAGGTCTGGAAATAGGTCAAATAAGAGATGATCAGAGTTTAACTAAAACTGACAGAAGACCAGGAGAAGAGGGACAAAGTCAAGAGATAGTAAGAGAATTGAAAAGATTTAAACCTTTTCAATATTGAGGTTAAGAAAGGAAGTCTAGGATAACTCCCAGGTTTCTGGGTGGGATAATTATGAGAATGATGCAACAATTAATAGGAATATAGGGAAACAGATTTTTTTTTTTGGTGTGTGACAGTTGGAGGAGGTATTCCAGTCTAGAATATGTTGTATTTGCATTTCCTATGGCACATTCACATTGCTCTAAAAACAGTTTGTGTAGCTAGATATTGATAAATATAGATAGAATGGCTGATAATCATTGTGTTCATGGAGCATATGTAAGACATGAAGTACATTTGTATTCTGGACAAAGCCTGCATTTGAGAGCTTAATCAGGAAAAAAGAGGAAAAAGAAGAACCACCCCTCCCCAAGCCTACTCCCTAGCCCCAGGGAGAAGTGGTTCAGGAGGCAGGAGAACTGGCAGAGAGTGTTGTCGTGGAGGCAGACACAGGACAGTTTCATGGAAGGGGAGTAAACTCTAGTAGTCACTGGTGTCAAAAATTTAGAGGCTAGGTAAATCAAAAAAACAGCAAGTTTCAATTTTGTTTTGCAGTATGAAGATTATTATTGGCTTTAGCAAGAGTAATTTCACTTGAGTAGTATTAGTTGGATAAAATAAGCATCATATAACCCAAGAGCATAGAAAGAATTTGATTTGAATGACAAGTAGAAGTGAGGACATAGCAGTAGATGAACATAGACCAGGATTAGCAGGTAAAGAGCCTTTCTTTTTTAAGATATTTATTTTGTAAATTAAACTTTTTATTTTGAGATAATTGTAGATACTTCACATGCAGTTGTAAGAAATAATACAGAAACATTCCCTGTACCCTTTACCCAGTTTTCTCCATTGGTAATATCCTGCAAAACTGTGGCACAATATCATAAGCAGTGTACCCTGTGGTACAGTACATTTCCATACCTTAAAGAGCTTCCCTCACATTGCCTTGTTACGGTCACACCCACTTTCCTTCCCTCTCTGGCCTCTCCTTAATCACTGAACAAGTATGTTTTTCTGTTTTCTATTTTCACAATTCTGTCATTTCAGGAATGTTAAATAAATTGGATCATACAGTATACAACCTTTTGGGACTTTTTTCACTAAGCACAATTCTCTAGTGTTGTGTATATTAATACTTCATTCCTTTTTATTATTGAGCAGTATTCCTTTGTATGACAATGAGGAAAGGGCGTTTAAGCTCCTGATTAAATCCATAACCAAGAAAGAATAATGATCCTCCTTAAAATTCTTCATTAAGGCAAACCATGGACGCTAATCACATATACCTTCTACAGGGTTTCAACACTAAAGGTCAGTCATTACAGAAAAATGGCCTGTTCTTTCTATATCCTGATAAAAATTGCCTTAAAGAACTTCAAGGCAATTTGATTGTTTTCAGACTTCCTGATGCCAGGGAGGGCACAGCAACTCAACCTTATCTTTATATTTCTTCGAAACTATGTACCCTAATTGAAATTTCTGATTTACTAGGTGTATATCTGCTTGTTTTTCTGCCTGTATAAGTGCCACTCACTTCTTCAAAGTTAGCACCATTTCAAGGCTTCTTAAAGCTCTGCTCTTGAGCTATCGTCCCCAGTAAGGTCCAAATAAAGCTTTCTTAGCTAAATATATAGAGATTGCATTTTCTTTTCATTAACAACATTTTAATTACAGTATGTCTTGGTGTGGGTCTCTTTAGATTTATCTTATTTGGAACTGTCTGGGCTTTCTAAATCCGAATGTCTGTTTCCTTACCCAAGATAGGGAAGTTTTTAGTCATTATTTGCTTCAAAAGGTTTTCTATCTCTTTCTTTCTGCTACTCTAATTGGGAGAGTTCCACTGCCCTGTCTTTGAGTTTACTGCTACTTTATTCTGCTTCATGTAGTCTATTGTTGAACACCTCTAATGTATTTTTTTTTAATTGTTATTCTTCAGCTCTGTGACAAAGAGAAATGTGGGCCATTTTTATATTTTCTCTTTGTTGAAGTTCTCACTGTATTGATTGATTCATTGTTCTCCCATGTTCAGCGATCATCTTTTATGACCATTACTTTGAACTTCGTATCAGCTAAATTATCTCCTTTTCATTAAGGTTTTTTCTCCCTAAGGTTTTAGCTTGTTCTTTTTTGGGGGGGCGGGGAGGGCATATTCCTTTGCTTCTTAATTTTGCTTGACTCTTCTGTATTGGTTTCTCTGTATTAGATCAAACAGCTACCTCTCCCAATCTTGAAGAAGTGGCCTTGTGTAGGAGATGAGCCTTCTTGTTCAACCCTGGCCTAGCTCTTGACTGTCCTTCGAACCTCTGTGATTGTCTCAGCAGCTTGTTTTTTCTTATTTTAAGCAACTTATTTTTAATAGTTCCAAGTCATTCAGAGTGTGCCAAGACCTTTCCATATTCTAAAAGGGAGGATCTCAGTTAGTACCTAGATTCAGGCAGATTAGAAGCCAGACCCTCAGTCAGCAGTATGAAAATATACAAAGAAATATAGTCCTGAGGGACCCCAAGTATAAGCCCCACTGGCCACCAGAGCCAGGTGATCTGGAAGTATCTCCTGGGCAGCAGTCACAAAAATGGGGGCTACAGATGAGTGCGTAAGCTTTCGGGGAGATACCAGTGAGCTATGGTGAGGCAGCGGGAGAAGGCGAAGCTGCTGTCAACCAGCCTGCATTCTCTGAGAGCATTTTTCTAGACTTCTAGATGTGTGCCAGACCTGAAGTCTGCCCCTCAGGCCAAAGCTGGCCAAGCAAATAGATCTCAGAAAGACTGGAGATGTGTTTCAATCTGCTCTCTGTGCAGTGAGGGCTGTAGTCCGCCAAGAACTGTCTCTTTGATTGTTATAGTCACATGGAACCCAGGAATGCAAGAGCTCCTTGCCTTTAGAGCCAGGTAATCAAGGGTTGTCTTTTGGGTGGTAGCCACAAAATCGGCACCCCAGACATAAAAACGGGCACAGACATGTGTAAAAGGTCCCCTCTAAAAGATTATGGTGCTCTGGAGCAAGGCAGAAGGGAAACGTGAAGGTGGTGCTTGCAGAGAATTGGGAGAAAGCCTAGGGTTCTGGGGAGAAAAAAATATGGTACTTAAAGTTGGTTCCTGGCAGCCTCCATCCTTAGAATATACCCCAGCAGGCTTCTTGATGTGTGTTAAATTAGATGAGTGCCCCTCAGGCCAGTATTTTAAGATTAGCAAATGAGACTCTTATGTAAAGTCTGGATAAGATCAGGGATCACTTAGAGAACCCTTTTCTCAGATCACTATAGCCTTGTGGGTCTTGTGGATACAAGCCTTATTGGTTTTCACAGCTGGATGTTATGGATGCTCATCTATCTGGTGCAGGTCTTAAAAGTTGGGATGCCACATGTGGTGTTCAAATTCTTCACAGGAAGAAGCTCTGGGTTTTGAGTACCCTCCTGAGTATAAGTCATTGTGCCTGGGGTGGGGTTTATGGCAAGATTGTGTCTCAGCCTCTTCTACCACCTTCAGTGTGGTTTTTTTTTTTCTCATATGATGCGTAGTCATTGCTCAGCTAGTTTTTACTTTTTTTTCCCAGAGGAAATTGTTCCTTATGTAGCTGTAGATTTAGTGTGTCCACTGGAGGAGGTAAGTTGAGGATCTTTCTATTTTTCCTGTGTGGCCATCTTGAATTGGAACTCAGTATTCCTTGGTATGGAAGGATCAGTTTGTGTAACAAAGTACCAGTTGATGGACATCTGGCTTGATTCCAATTTTTGGAATAAAGTTCCTAGAAATGTTGGTGTACAGTTTTTTTGAGTGAACATAAGTTTTCATTTCTCTGGGCTAAATGCCCATGAGTGCAGTATCTGGGTCATAGGAGTCATAAGGTCGTTTATGTTTAGATTTTAAGAAACTGACAAAACTATTTTCCAGAATGGCTGTGCCATTTTACATTCTCAGCAGCAGTATATGGCTGATCCGGTTTCTCTGTATCCTATCAACATTTGGTCTTATCACTTTTTATATATATATATGTGTGTGTGTGTGTGTGCGCGCGCGCGCGCGCGCGTACACACATATATACACACATATATATTCTAACAGGTGTGTAGTGATATCTCACTGTGGTTTTGAGTTTCTTAATGGATAATGATATTGAACATCTTTTCACATGCTTATTTGCCATCTTTATATCCTTTGGGGTTAAATATCTCTTCATGTCTTTTATCTATTTTCTAATTGGATTCTTTTTGTTCTAGATGTGAGTCCTTGTCAGTTATATGATTTGTAAACATTTTCTCCCACTTCATAGCTGTCTTTTCATCTATTTAACAGGGTCATTTCACAGAGCAAAAGTTTTTAATTTTGATAAAGTACAGTTTATCAATTTTTCTTTTAATGGATAATGTTTTTGCTGTCTGTGTAAGAACCCTGTGCCCAGTCTTAGATTCTGAGGATTTTCTCCTGTTTGTTTGTTTGTTTGTTTTTAATTATATGATC